CTGGGGCTTTCACAATGACAAAAAATGAGCATATTTCAATTTTTTATTTATTTTTATAGATTTGCAAGTTTTATAGGTGAACGATAACCCAAGTGCGGCTGTTATTCCGAAAACACGAGACCAGGTTATCAAATTTCATGAGTTCATCGCTTTTTTCACGCGTTATTGCATGGATAGTTATTCTTAGTTTAGCAATGTCGTAGAAACGTCGTGAAACCTTTTTACATAATGTCTCCAGGGGTTTATGCAGTTTGGTTTTTTATAGGCCAAAGCAGCTGCTTACAACGTTGGTTATGTTATGCTGCGAATATTTCGCGTCTTTTCTGCATTAAAAAGAATTAAACAATGTTTAAATAAAAGTGACTCGGACCTATAACGATATCAAGTCGTCCTGCCAGCCAAAAAAAAAAAAAAAAAAATTAATGGGAGTACAGGGTAGCGAGCATTCCGACAAATCACCGCGCCTCCGATGTATATTATGAGAATACACCGTGGTTACCGGTCCATACTGTGGTGCTGCGACTCTCCGCTTAACGCATCGAGTCCGGACCTTAGCCAACGGTATCCGATCCCATGCAGCCAATCAAACAGTGCAAAAAGTGCTTTGTCACGGCGCACGTCGTCTTTGTGCGTTTGGTATCTCCGCTAAACTGATCAGGGGAGTAATGTATTGTGCCGAATCCTTGTGTGTTTTATGCCATCTCTACCTAATCCTCTATTGATATTGGGAGGTTACTAACTCCTAAAATTTCATCGCATCTTCATCATAAGCGCGCGCGCACGCACGCACACAGACACACAAAGTCGTCTTCTTATAAAACGTCTAGGTAATTTGTCAATTAATTAATTCCCAAAACTACGTTTTCCCGGAACCACCTTCGATTGTATGCGGTCTGCATATATATATGTTAAATGTAACATCCATCTCTAAACGTCGTTTTCCAAAATTTTTCATTTGAACAACTCCAAAAGGCTCGTCCTTTTGTTCTTATAGGCCCTGATTTCGATTTCGTTGTGTGAGTCTGCAGCCCATACCTCAATGTAGTGCCCTCGTGCCCTGAGGGATGACTAAATGAACGAGGCTCAAATAACTTGCTAAATCAAAACCCCCACGCCCCCCCCCCCCCCCCCCCCCCCATAGAAAAAAAAAAAAAAGGTTTGACAAGATGTTACACGAAAAGAAAACAATAATTTCAAACACAGCGTTTCCTAATGAGGAATTTGTGCTCCTTGTGGCTCGCAAGACGTATTGAAGCTCCTCAAAGACACGGTATTATGCGTACAAACACAATAAACTGCAAGTCATCCACAAACCTTCGCATCGAACCACCACAAACAGCGGAAGTTTCAAGCGTCTAACCAGTACAACGGATGCATTCATCGATTCGGCAGTTCCGGGTGGCATTTGTTATTGGAACGACCTTCCCAATTCTATCCGTTGCTGCCACCATCTTGTTTCGTGAATCATTAGTTTCCTTGTTCGCATAAGTAACTAGTTCCATTTCTTATGACGTGTTATATGAGTAATGTTCATTATGACTGTAATTAAGTTTTTTTTTCCTATTATTATTCCTGTTCTTTATCGTTGTGTTTACATCGAGCGTTATTTTGTTCTTTAGATTTTGTTCATCAATAGTGGATAGTTACTGCTTCGTTCCAATTTTCTTTTTATGTTCTGTCCCCCCCCCCCCCCCCCCCCCCCATTTTTATGTAATGTAATGCCCTGCTGGACTTTTAAGGGTGCAATAAAGAAATACCAGGATGCAAAACGTGGAGTGCGTGGAAGGCCGTCACTTTACTCCACCACAAGCACCTTAACGTTGTTGCCGATGAGAACACAGCTTTTCCGATTTGCCGCTACAAATTTCTTTCCGCGTACACATCAACGCTCGGCGAGCCGTCTCTCATCCCTTCGATGGAGATTGCTTCAGCGCGCTTCTGTAATTGCTTCGACGTCCAAAGGACCCGAGGCGAGAGGTGAGCGCCAGCCTTTCTCCCTGGCACGGGCTTAGCGCCCACGTTGATTGATGAATGATACTCCTTCGGCTGCTTTCTTCTATGCGGGACGCCTCGTATTCGTTAGCCGATGGGGGAAAAAAAAGAAACTTCGCTAAGAAAGTCTCTTCTTGCATTTCTTTTTTTATAGTTTACACTTTTTTTTTTTTTTTTTTTTATTTGGCAAGAGCCGAGAAAAACAACCTCTGGATGACTTCGAACGAGGGTCATATTCCCAAGAGGAGACTACTTAAGTTGCCGTGTAAAATTATATCTCTATAATAATCGAATATGATCTTGGCAATATAAAAATAAAACAAATGGATTAATGTAATCGGTTTTTGGGCATCCCATATTGTGAAATTCATCTCACTCATAAATCGCTTTGTTCTGACGTGCGTACGGGTACACATGACTTCGAGAAGCACTTCAGCAATGCGTGCTTCAATGGCCAGTGTTCCTCAACAGCGGATCATGCAGGACGTAATTTCAAGACAGGGTCGGCCGTAATCGTAGGAATCTTGGAAGACGGGCCCTTTTCCGACATTTGCAAGCTGAAATGACGTGCCACGTCACTGCACCAACTCGGAACTAGCATATATGAGCAAAGGCTGTCGTCTATTTGGGTAAGTGAATTCGAAGCTAACGGTAGACTGAGAGCTGGTCAGAAATTGAGTCCGCCGAAACTAAAGGCCGGAATGGTCTAATCGGTTAAGGCGTGGCCCGGATAGGCGAAGGTTGCGAGTTCAATTTCCGCTCCTCGCCCAATTTTTCGCCAGATCTCTTTCTCCTTCCCTAACTTGAATGCAGTAAACTCATTAATCACTTTCTCCCCTCTTCCACAATTCGAACATATCTATTACATAACATTCGTCAACGATGCGCTTATACGGTTTTGCGCAGGTGAGTTATACGGTCAGGGGGACATTACGTGGGTGGTTAATCTTTGCGATAAGTCGGCTAATTAATTAAAATTCGTTAATTAACTTTTTAATGAGTGAAAATAGACAGATGGTTTCAATTAGAAACTGACTGAACGTCATCGAAAACCGCTAAATTAACTTTTGTTAGAACGGCTTGGAACTCGTGAGAAACTCGGGGGTGCGCCAAAGTTACCCGCAAATGGAGCGCGGGACGAACCTAATCGCGAGACCTAAGAGAAGTTGAAAGTCACACGTCACGCAGACGGGGCTGATGAACAAAGCGCAAACCTTCGCTGCGGACAGGATACAGAATTATCTGCGTCTCACAGATGTGCATGTTCGAAGGATGATGTTTGCGTCAAACATATGTACGCTTCAAATAGATGTCTGCAGGTAGCTTTTGGTTGACCGATGTGGCCGTCATACGAGGGGAAAAAAAAGAAAAAAAAAAAAGAAAACAACGTTCAGACAGTATTTGCAGACCACCTTTTGTATGATGAATTAGCAGCTGCGTGGTGACCACGGCGTTAAGCCTCGAACAATGTTAAGTACGAGTTCGCTGATTTTGTATACAGTCAGTTCATCAAGGAGTAGGAATTTTAATCCCAAATGTAAGGAATATATTTTTTTGTAAATGTATTTTTTTAAATCGTAAGTGGAAGTACAGGTTACAGAATTTTGCGTTTTAAAGGACGCTTTTCATGTCTGTGAAAAGTTAAAGACCTTTCCGGGTTGTGAAAATGTATCACTGATTCTGAGGGTGCCATTGATTCGGATGTACAAACGATGCGCAGTATTTGTTTTGTTCGATTTCTACGTATGCTACCAGATATTCCCTGCAAACGTACGCCTGAATTCGACAGAATTCGAAAGCGACGAGTATACTTTTTGAACCAGCAGAACTCGTACAAAACAAAATGTAGTCAAAAGTACCGAGGGCAGACAAAATTGTTCCCATTGTCGAGGAATGAATACCATGTCGCTCCAAGCGATGCTTTTCAACACGTGCGATCGAAACGCCCGAAAAGACCCAAACCGTTGAAGAAGCTTTTCTTTTTTCTTTGTAAATACAGTGTAAAATTCTTATACTTTATCAGATTTTGTGTGATATGCTTATTCCGCGGTGACTTCAATTTCGTTAGATTATATCCCACAACTCGACCATCGTATACAGTACAGGCTTGATCAGATGGGGCGGCGAACCCTACACATGCGCATGTGTAACAGGATTCTCGTAGAGTGAAATGTCTGACGTCACATCCCTGGGACGTTACCCCGGAGCGGTCTGATATCATCGCCTCGGGGGTAAGGTCTTACGTATTTTAAGCAATCTTGGTAAACTTATTAAGATGGAAAGATTTTCGCCCTTTGGTCGAACGTTGGCCCTTGCCCGCCAGTGAATTCTAGAAATAATCCAACTGTGATAGAGTCCTACACCTGATCCGTCCCTTGTTAGTTACTCCGTTAAGCTTGTCTTTATAAGGTGAGATTTTTGTGACCTCGTAAAGGTATAAACTTGACGTCAGGTTTATACCATTTTGATGTAAATTTCAACCTAACGTCTTGTAAGATTGTAAAGCTGACAACTTGACGTCTAACTAACATTTTTTAGGTGTAAACTTGATAGGCTTCCCTTTATGTAGTGACATCTTACACCTGTTTTTTCGAAGTAATCTTGATAAGCTTCCCTTTCTTAGACGAGATATAACACGAACCTTGTTTTAATTAAACTTCATAGGTCTGAATATGCTCACTTTTTTGTGATGCCATCTTAACCTTGATTGTTTAGGTCACCATCTTTGAGGAGCATGCTTTCTGATGATGCCATCTTACACTAACGTTTTTTTTTTTTTTTTGAGTGATCTTGGCAAGTGATACATTTTTTTAACAGTGAATTAGAATAATTTGTCCGAACGTTAACACGAAGCCCGCGCTACCCCAACGCCAGTAAAGGCGCCAGTTCCGAGACTATACAAATCTACTCCGATCAAGAAGTATAAAAAAAGAAAAAAAAGCGAACTGGTGTAGGCTAGTAAAGGCTAGTGCGCGTGCCACGAGGATCGAGCAAGCCGGAGAGCCCACCTTGGAATGGATAGCCCGTGAAGAGCGGCCTGATGGACGAGAGCGCCGAGGCCATGCTGGGAGTCGCCGAATGGGTGCCCTGCATCCAGCAGCGTCCCGCCGCGGCCGCCGCCGCGGCGGCGGCCGCAGGGTTTCCCGCCGACCAGTCCGAGCCCAGGCCCGCGAACGAGTTGCCCTCCAGCGCCGAGCCGCCTCGGTAGCCCCCGGCCACGGGCGCCAGGCTGCACCCCGCGCACGCTGCGAGCACCCACACACCACGCACCGGCGCCTACGAGTACACGGCACCACCCGTCGAAGCGTCAAAACCGCCGCCGACACTCCACGTTGATGATCCTCTCGGTCGGGGAGTCCGTCCAGGTGACCGCTTCGTCGAATCTCGTCCGACAAACTCTTCCACAAACGGTCAAGAACTCTGTTGGCCGGGAAGTAGTCGCGGCTCGCGAGCGATCGCCTCGCAGCTGGTTCGTCAGAATCTGACAAGAACGGTGACGGCGAGTAGTCACCGCAGTCACCGCAGTCACACTCGAGTAGCCGATAGCGAGTCGCCCAGGTGCACGAGATGGGTCCTGGCGAAGCGGCGTGAGTCGGCGAGAGGACGGCCAACTCGAGTGAGCGCGTGCCACGCGCGCTCGGGACTCTGCGGCCGGCGGAGTGCCCGCAGTTTGAGCGGGGTGGGCGGCGCGCCCGCTCTCGGGGGGGCCGGTTCTGCGCGGGGGCTTCCCATTGGACGCCCGCGCGGGACCCTCCCGTCGACGACAGCGGCGGGCCCTTTGTTTCTCCCCGTCCCGAGTGCGTGGGAAACGACGCAGAGAGGGACACGCGCGCGGGGGTCCGGCGCAGGTCGTGCACCGCGGCGGGTGTCCGGCAAGGGTCCCGCCCCCGGCCGGCAAGACCGACGCGGGTGGGCGTCCCTGCAGCGAGCGGTCGGCCGGATCGCCGGCGGCGTAACGGGGACCCCTTCCCCTGCGGCGTCGCTTCCTGTTCCCCGGGCCAACAAAGGAGGCGAGCAGGCGACTGCGAAGAACGCGGCGTCGCTGAATGGCTCCGGTCACGGCAATGGAGCCGTTGGCTCCGGACGATTCGCTTCCCCCGCCGGGCCCTCGTGTCGCCGGAGCGGCAGTCCGCTGGCCTCACGCCACCGCCATTGCGAGGCGAGCGGCCCTGCAGTATACTGAATGGCCGGGCGAGGTAGTGCTGCATCATCACGCGATGAGCGCAGACAGCATGGCGCGTTTTTCTACACGCGAAAACGCGACGCGCTATGAACGCTCGCGCGGAAGCTGACGCGGGGGCAGTGTTGTACACGTTCCTCAAAAAAAGGAACGAAAGCTCGTTCCTCGTTCCTTCTGATTTTTGGAACGCGTTCTCGTTACAAGTTACATCTGTGAAAAAGGAACTCGTTCCCGTTACAGTTTAAGAAATGGAACGTATCGTTACATATACGTTACATTTGTATTTCGCTAATTACTATATTTTGTTAAATCAAGCAGCGTTCTTTTTAATCCATCCCATTAGTAGTCAACATATGAGTTTGTACGTCGTCATGGAAGGGCAACAAGAGAAGAAAACAAGCGGAAGCAGGGTTTCATTTGTTGATATATTCAAGTTAAAAATCTAAGCCTTTCACCATATTCATGTTTGTAGTGGACGATTCAGATAAGCCGAATGTACTTTTACCCTACAGTGCACGAGCGTTTTACAACAACCTCACACGTTTCAATTGAACAAAGTCCCTTGTTCGAACTTAACAGCTGCTGCTTCTCGATGTTGCTGTCCGCAAGACGAGCAAGTGGAGGAGGTGGTAGGCTTTTTGGAAGGTCAGTTTTAAAAACTTCAAATACTTCTTTGTAAGGTTGGCTTTGTTGTTCGGGATACAAAAGTGCGTTCGATGTCTGGCAATCTGTGATCTCGTTGTAACTGTAGGTCTCGTTATGGAAGTTCACAAGTAGCTGTCGGCCTTAGATTTCTGGGTGTATGAGGATTCGTGAAACCAAAGTAAGTAGCCGAGTTTGAAACAACCCTCTTTCTTTGTCTTTTCCTACGACCAAAAGCCTTGCTTTTTGTACCGCTGTTTCGGGCACTACAACACGAATCAATATCCACCAGCTCTCCTGCAACCGAAACTGTCAGCAAGCGAGGACCACACAAAATAATCCATGAGATTAGTAGCCAAAGAGGTAACGAGATCCCGCACTTTGTAGTTTCAAAATTTCCCTGATCGAAATAAAATAAAAATTACCCACTGGACGCAAAAAAGGAACGCCGTTACTCTTTCCGTTCCAGTAAAAATGTAACTCGTTCCCGTTCCAGTTCCAGCGATGCAAAATGGAACGTCGGCGTTCCCTCGTTCCTCCTAAAAGGAACGCGTTCCATGAACGCCGTTCCTTGGAACGCCGTTCCGTACAACACTGCGCGGGGGCACCCGCACGCAGACGAACCAAGGCACCGCCGGCCGCGCGTTATCAGCGTTGCCAGATAACAGAATTCTCAACACGCGATGTAAATGTTGACGCAAATACTACAAAATGAGAATTAAATGAACAAATGAGTAAATAAAACGGGTTCGTGCGTCAAAGAAACATCTTTTTCAATTTTTATATGGGAAATACAAATGCTTTTGAAAACTTTGAAATGTGCTGATTGCGGAACATCGTACTGTGCAGGATCACGTGATAATTCGGCCGACCCTCATTGGGCGAGAGCCGCTTCGACGCCTCGGCGCGCGCGTCTTTTTCTGGGTCGGCTAGAAACCAACGCTTCCGCGAAAACGCGCGCCCGCGCGCAGGAAATGACGTCAGTTTGACGCCGACGCGCCTGAATGGCGAGCAAAAACGCGCCATGCGGTCTGCGCTTTAGACGACGCCATGTTGCCTCCGAACGTCGGCAAACTCTTGCGAGGCTTCTGAGGGTCTGATCGAGGGCTGTAGTGACGGCCTTGTAATGGGATGCCTATGAGGAAAAACCTGCCAGGATTTACTTATCTACTTCAAAGTGACTTTCGGCAATACGTAAAGCAATATTCGATATCTTGCACCGATAGGTTTTTGTGTTTGGGGGTTCTGGCACGCACATTTAGTATATATATCCACCATCGGTTATCTTCCCCGCGTAAAGTGGTTCAGCCCACACCCCTCATAAATCTCCAGCACAATTGTTTTCGTATGTATCCGGCTGTAAATTTTCTTTGACATTGGTCAACAACATTGGGGTCTCTTTGGTAAATCTGAATGACGCCAGGTTACGTAGATGAAAAGCACAGGCAGGGCACGAACACTGATCGAACACCTCAAAACACTTGAAGCAGGAAAACGAACGAGAAGGGAGGACCCCAGTTATGAAAGTTAGGGAGAGCAGAAAGGGGTTGAAGGTTAACCCATGGTGAGCTATCAGGTATACCTACTATCTAAAATGTTGGTAATGTGACTTCAGCGATGTAGCGACGAATCCAAGTCTGTTAAAATACAGTATCGATTACCTGTATTGGCAAAGATTTATCTGTTCCTGACTTGCTAGGCTTTCAGTTCTATCGGGTATCAAATGTCGGGATTGATCATGCAATCTTCGAAGTACCAACCCTGACGGTCGATGTCACGTAGGCTGCAAGCGCTGATCAACACGTGGACGTTCCCTTCTAAACCGATCACAGTGAATATAATCAAATGTTCGATACATCCCGTTTTGCCTGTTCACAAAAAGCCAGGCAGGAGGTGTTCGGGATGTTTTATAATATAACTTCTCCGTGACTGCTACGTTGCGAAGCAGGCATTTACAGTAGAAGACGCAAGGTGCAGTTTGCTAAGGGGGCATCACTGGGAATAGGAAAGTTTAGATGAGTGCCAATTCAGTAAAGAAGATAATTGCTTTCGTGTTCATCAAACCAGGAATCTTCTCACAATTTCTCACGAACTTCAAACGGCGCACATCGTCAGCTTTTTTCTTGTAACCCTACAGTTCTTGAACGGGACGGCCTTTGGTTACTCTCCGGCCTGGCTCCATGGGTACCATGCCTGTCTGGAACATGCGATCCGATCGACCTGGATGGCGTCCCTTTCATCGACGGTTTCAGTACACGGAATTAAGACGACCACCAGGCGACCGAGGCAATCACCTTTTCCGTTATCAACGAGCTTCACCGAGGTCATTTTGGAACAGCCACATCGACATCTGTATCATCGCATTGGCCCAGAAAGCTGCGCAGCCTCGTCATCGTGGATCGTCAGAGGGCATGGAAGCACAAACGATGCTCATCGTCAACTTTTTTTCTTCTAATCCTGCAGGTTAGTAAAGTTTCTATTGTTTTAAGTCTTGACGTCTGTACAATATTGCTTTTATGCCCAGAAGGTTTGGTGAATTCTTTCAGTGTAACTGTTGCAATGAGTTGAATACACTAACCACGGACACACTAATGCTGAACATATATCTAAGCTTGCGCTATGTGAGCGTGTTGGGGCTTTTTAAACATTTAGAAAGTGGAGACACATAAGGGACGATACAGACAACCCTTATGTGTCTCCACTTTCTAAATGTATATCTAAGCAGCTTCATGCATCGCAAGATACGAATACGCGTATTCAGAGTGTTGAAGACGGGCAAAGCTAAGCTACATAAGTCATGGCTATAAATATCTGTATACGGTTTCCGCGATTGAAGTCGTCTTCAATCGATGAATAGACCTTTTTCGAAAGTCCTGTGCTGATTGTGAAGGTCGGGGAACCACCGCACAATGGTGGAGCCACGGACACTGCTGTATACGTGCAAACCTAAACCAAGAAAAAACACAAGGACAAACGCAACATACTAAACCCGAAGGTCGCGTTGCATTCCTGCGTTCGATTATAGTTTAGCCGGTGAAAACATACGCATGACAGACAACGAGCGAGGTAACGTTGCGATTTTGGCACTGCCGTGTTTGCATCTATCATCTCGTAATAGCGTTGACTGTGCTATGTCATATGTGCCTGCCATTCTGCGGAGATTCCACAGCTTCCAACAGAGGGCGTAGTTTTGAAAGGGGTCTATTATACACCGCGAGTTGGCTGGTGCCAACCGATCTAGTCAGAGCATTAAAAAAAATTGTTTTGTATACAGTAGATTAGATGAGATGTCAAACCAGTCACGCAGAGATAATCTTGTGTTTCCCGGTGTGTACGATTGCGCTGGTGAAACGTGGGCCCTGGCAGAATAATGATAAGATGGTTCGCTCACTTTCACAATTAGCTTCGTTTAATATCTCACGCGAACAAATTGTGCGTGCTCATCGTTTGGGCCTTTTTTTACAATGGGAAAGCGTCGTCCCATTTTAGTGAAGTTTCGGTCTTTTAAAACGATAAAGAAACTGTTCTCCAGGCCAAGTTCAAATTAAAAAAAACAGACGTTTGTGTTTGAAAAGACTTTAGAATGGAAAGCCTTCAGGCAAACGTGGTTAAGCTAAACTATAAGAAACTTTTCTTAAAAAGGAGTGTTATGCGTACTACGCGATCAAAGACCAGTAGCCACACGCCTCGTCGCCAAGTTTCTTTTGCAACACCAATATCTGATTTTCACACGACGTCTACTATTTTTTATATCAATTAACCTAACCAGAGGTTTCCCCAGGAACCGTCATACGCTAAACATCTAGGGCTAGGCGTCGA